AGATTTGCCGTGCCTATCCTGCTGCCCTCGGGCTCCGTGGCTTTGCTCTGCTTTGCTCCCCGTCCCCCTGATCTGCAGACCAGGGGGACGGGGAGCAAAGCGGCGGAACACGCAGGCAGCGGACAGAGCAAAGCAGAGCAAAGCCGCGGAGCACGCGGGCAGCTGACAGTCCAGACGCGTCTGGGCTGTCCGCTGCCCACGTGTTCCGCCGCTTTGCTTCCTCTCCCTGGTCTCCTGGAGACCAGGAAGAGGGAGGGCCCCGTTCGTAACTGCGGATCCGACATAAGTCGGATCCGCGTAACTCGGGGACTGCCTGTACGTGGAATTTACCTCTTCTTAGTTAGCAATGATAATTTTATCATGCAAATCAATTTCTGTTTTGTTTGATATAACTCTAATGTATTCCAAAACCATGAGAACAAAAGAGTCTCCATCTCAAATGTTTTCCTAACTCTCCTGGTCACAGTTTTGCAGACCACCTCCTTTTAACACTCCAGTTCATGTAAACCATTCTCACTTTTTATTCACAACTAGCAAATTTACCCAGCAATGCTCAGATCCATAAGTCAATATTTTTTTAAAATAAAGGGAAAATGTACATACTTCATGGAAATGATTCTATTTTTCAAAAACAGTGTTATTTTTAGTTAATTTTAGTAATTATTTTTAAAAAAGGAATTCCATTTAGTGTGGTTTTTTTCTTCATCCCTATAAACACATTAATTACTATGTTTTAACAAAAAGGGCTATACTCAATTTGGTTTTCAATACTATAGTCTTCTAGTTTTCAAACCTTAAACATTGGGTTAGCTATGCCAAAACACGGCACTACACCAAATTTCTCCGTTTTATCTCTTTTGTGTAAGGTTCATTGAGAAGCAATCCTGTTTCAGGTTCATCCCATTTTTCTGGCTTATCTTGGTTCAGTCTCTTTCAACATTTGCTCAGTTATGCCAGTTTTGAGGACTGTAGTTTATTTGGTGATTCTGATTTCTGTTTCCTTCAGTGTATTTCTTGTCTTGATATTCATTTCTCACACCTCCTTCTCCTTGTTTAACTTAGACTGTAAGCTTTCAGGATGGGGATCATGTCTTTTTATGGTGGAAGATCATATATGTGTGGTGCTCTAATAATTGTTTAGGCCTTGAACCTCCCACATTGATTACTGCAGCTTCTTTGGCCTCTCTTTAAAGAAAATTTCTTTAATCAAGATTATACAAAACATAGATGATAAGATTATCTTCCTCATCTGAGGGTCAGATCACATCACTCATCTTTTTTCACAGATTCCCCATAGGGTATCATATTCAACTATAAATGTATGTATCTTGTGTATATGGTGAATAAAGGGCCTGTGCAGTTCAATCCTAACCTGAATATCAGCCTGAACTTTTACTACGGATATGATTTTTTTTCATGGTAAAATTAAGCAAAATTCACAGAACAGTCATGGAACAAAAAGTAAAAAATCAGGATATGTCACAGTGGAGCTGAAAAGAAAGCTAAAGTGTGGCTGAATCTGAAGCTAAAGAAGTCATGGACTTCTGCTAAAGTTACAGAATCCATGACCTCCATGATCAAATCGCATACTTAATTATTACAAATTTTGGATTTTATGTTATGTTTTTGCCTCCTTAATGTGGTAAAGAAGGTAGTAGCAGATGCAATCACAATATTTTTGTACTTACTAAAGGTTAATTTGGATTATGTTTTTGGCTATAATCAGGTGTAGTGTCTGAATGTCAACAAGAGAGATCTCAAATAAAAAATAAAGAGATTGCTATGAAAATTCTTCGTGCTAAACTCTACAGCATCAAACTAGAAGAAGAGACAAAAAAGAGATATAATGCCAGAAAGATTCAGGTAGGATTTATTTTGCAAATGAATAGCTTTGTGTGTATGAGACTGCTGGGCTGACGTACAAGTGGGAGACAGAAGTAGGGAAATAGTTAAATGCAGTGCACAAATATCTTATTCCATTAAATTGCAGTGCAAAAGGATTAGGTAAAGCTTGGTGGCACAAGTATTGTTCACCCTGGCTAGTAATCTTACACATTGAGCTAATTGTCATACACAGGGATTGACAATATTTAATTACCATGCATGTAATGTTAATAGCAGTATGATCACACAAGTAGTAGCACTTGTTACTACTCATCTAGTTCCATCAGGACATAGTACTAATCACATTAAATCTCTGAACAGATTTCAAATTGCTACCTTTTTTTTTTTTTTTTTTTTTAATTAACCTGCCTGAAAAATATTTCAGATACAAGATGTATAATATTCAGTCCGAGTTGTGAAAATTCATTGTAATTAGAAACTATGTGCTATTAGAAAGGAAAGACTTTGCAGCAGGATACAGCACAAGTTTCTAAACCTGGTAATTTATTAAATATTTGACCTTTAACTATGAAGTGACATACATAAAATTTGCATTCTAGCTATATTTGATACATAGTGTTATAGAAGATCTAGAGTCCTGATGAAACAAGTGAATTGAAACAACTGCTGAATATAACTAATCATAATACTAGAGACAATACTGGATTTTAATTCACATATAAATTTATTATCCAGTGATGGCTACACTAGACTTCATATAGGTACAGTTTTTCATATAGATATCTAAGAACTCTAGGAACTTGTTATTCTTAGCCATAGCTATAGTGAGCAAATCTGTGGGTTAATCCAATTACTAAATCCCTGTATTGAATATTTGTATATTTCCAGTAGGAAGAAAAGAACTGATATTCAAATCCTTAACCAGTATATTGTTCTATGCTTAAAAAGAATACCATGGTGATAAATTTATTCTTCTTATGTGGTAGATTGGGACCAAAGGAAGATCCGAGAAGATCAGAACATACAACTTTCCACAGGATCGTGTTACTGAACACAGGATAAACAGAACAGTGCATCATATTCATAAATTTATGTTAGGGGAAGAACTTCTAGATGAAATGATAAAATCCCTGAGAGAATATGCTGATTATGAAACTTTAATGGAAATTATTTCAGAAAATGAAAAAACAAATCTGACCTGAACTTTGTTCTTTGCCAAATCCTGTACTGACAGGTATGGATACCCTGACAAAGATTAGCTGCATGACTGCTGGAACATTACATAGGCAGTATAAATTGTATTTCAGACCATCACGGAGGACTAATTTATCTCCTCATGACCTCTAAACATTTTTTCCTATTGACCGGAGTAGAAGACTAGATTTTTCTATGAGACGTTGTTACAGAATAGGAAATCTAAAGTAAATACGATTGAGTTTGAAGTGATTGCAGTTTTTACTTTCTCACCTGAGGACATTGCTGCTCTACTTTCAAAAGGTATGCAGAAAAACTGAGTTGCTTCTAGTTCTAGGCTTCATTTGAGCATAAAAATCTATTCCGTACAGTATAAAGCCAAGTATGTAGGGAGCCTCCTTTTGATAACATTTAGGCCACTTAGTTGTGCACTGAAGTGAGGTGGCCTACATCACAGGTGATTGATCTAGCCATGTGACTAACAATGACTGTTTTGGTCGCTAGCCCAATTAATATTCAATTATCTTATTAAAGTAGAATGAATTAAATATGAGAGACAGAGAGATTTACATCAGAATATTCCATAATCCAGTGGCTAAGGTATTCTTGAGAGGTAGGAGATGCCTCTTCAAATCCCTTCTCATCAGACAGAGGGGAAAATTAAAAGAGGGTCTCCCATGTCTCAGCTGAGTACTTTAACCAATGAGCTAAAAATTACAAGGGATATTCCCTCTTCTCTACAGCCACTTTGTGTGGAGTGAGTCAGGTACTTAAGCTGTTTCTTATGAAAATGACTCCAAGACTGTGTCTACACTACAAAGAAAATTTGGAAAAAGATACGCGAATTGCGAACCGCAATCTATGTAGGGTCAAATGTCGGAAAAAAACTCTCTTTTGGAACATCTCTTCTTCCTCATAGAATGAGGTTTATAGGGATGCCGAAAAGACACATCTGCTTTTCCGAAATTTTTTTCTGAAAAGCAGACGCAATCCTTGAACATGGCAGAGTTTTTCTGGGATATCTCTGGTATCCTAGAAAAGCTCTGTAGTCTAGATGTATCCTAAGAAGGGTTCCTGGTTGTGGATTACAAGCAAAAATAGGTGCCTCCCTGAAGACCAGATTTAGGAACTGAACTCTAAAAGGCATTTGAGATGACCAGGACGTAGGACACATCTTTCTCATCAACATCTTCCATCTGCTAGCTTAGGCAGCTGTGGCTTAGCTTGCTGACTTTTGTGGATATCATATTCTGATGCTATCTCTCCCCATGAATCATATAGGGAATCTAGGCACCTCACATACACTTTGTGAATTCCAGTTATTTTCAAAGCAGTGGAAAGAGGCTCAGTGTGGCAAAACCCAATTCCTTTATGGATTTGGGATGTACTATCTGGAAGCCAAAACCTCAGGTATTTCTTGCTTTATCAGTTATATAAAGGTTATATACTATTAGAAAACTTATGGTGGTGAGACTATTTTCTGTAACTTTCAGTAAAATGTTAATGTCATCTGTAAAGGTAGGGTTTTTATTGCCTGTGGTAAGTGCTTATGGGCTGCACTTTTCTGTTATATTAATGGAGGAGGTATGGTGTCTGGGACAGAATTTGGATGCTGGAGCAGATTCTGACCAAGGGCAGAGGGTTGGGATGCAGAAGGAGGTGCGAGGTGTAGGATCTGACCCTGGCTGGGAGATGCTTACAATAGGCAGCTCTTGTCTGGCACTTCAGTGGAGCACTTAAGCAAGCAAGCTGCCTGCATGCCATCGTGACCCCACACCACTCAAAATGGTTGGGTGCTACTGGCAGGCATGACTCTGTGCACCTCTTGGGGACAGGGAGGCAGCTGGTCCACTGCAAGTGCCTGCAAGCACCGCACTTGCAGCTTCTGTTGGTCAATGTCCAAGACAGTGTGTTAATGTGGCTGACCATTCAAGTGCTATTTCAAAGCCTTCCAAAACTAGGGATGTTAAATATTGGTTAATTGAATAGTCGAATAACCTAATGAATTCTTATCGGTTACTCGACTATGCTGTAGTCCCCGGGTTGGGGCCAGCAGCTCCACTCCCGAGGTTCCACTCCCGAGGAGCCCCTTGTCACTTGGCAATACTGCTTCTGTATCATGGATGGCAGGCGGGATCTGGTCTGCGAGGGGAGCCAGTTTAAAAATCAGCTCCCCTTGTTGACCAACTACCTGTTGCCCTTTGCTGCTGCCTCTGAAAAAGAGGCAGCAGTGCAGGATGGCAGCCAGCTTGCTGTACCAACTACTGGCCCCACTTCTAGGGACCCAGCTGTTGCCCCATGTTGCAGGCTCTGATCCCGCTCCCTGGGAGCGGGACCGGGACCGGGAGCCTGCGTGTAACTATTAACAGTAACTGATAAGCCAAGGCTTATTTTAGTACCAGGTGAGGTGCTTGAAATTTTATAATTTTTTAAATTATCATATCTAAATGAATAACATGTGATGGGGACAAACCAGCACAATTTATATAAAGGAAAATTCTGCCTTTCAACTCTACTGGTATTTTTTCTGTCATTAAAACAGAGGATAAATTAGCAACACTATATTTATATTTGCTGAAAGCAACTGTGACTGCCCACATACACACAGTGATGATAAGCACAATCTTTATAACAGACCATAACACTATGTATTGCATATATAATAAAATCTATAGGACAACAAATGATTCATAAAATGAAGCAAAATGTTGTTACAGGTAAAAATGTTTATTTCAGGCTTCTATGTAACAAAGTCACCATTATATATTAGAATAAAAACAAGTTAGTATGTAAAACAATCTTTGCAGCAGTTTGCTTATAAAAACAATTTCACATACATATAAAATGTAACATGATATATTCTAAAAAATTAGGAAATGTGGGTTACAAAACTAAACATCAGCAAGTTTATATCTTCATTAAAGTTTCATATAAAATTAAGGGTTCATTTAAATCTGGCTTGCAGAGGCAAGATATCAAGAGATCCTGTAACCTGGCCTTAGTACTAAGCTCTATTCTGTAAAGCACAAGCTTAACTTTATCCATGAATGTAGTTGCTTTGAAGCAAGGGTGGGCAATAATTTTTGAAGGGAGCCAATTCACAAATTTTGGAAGTGATCATGGGGCCTCGGGCAGAGGGGGACTGTTCCCTCTAGGTGCGCCCCATCCCTGGTGGCTGGAGGAGACTTCACACACTCCTGCCTCTGGGCCAATCAGGGTTGTGGGGGGAGGAGAGTACACAAAGTCTCTCACTCTACCAGCCTGCCCTGAGTTCATAAAATCACCTCCCCTCCATTTCATGTTCATTTGAGTGGAGGGACCCATTCTCCAACAACTTTGTGGCTTCACTGACACTGTTCTTGTGTGGGCCCACTGAGATGTGAGATGACTATATTGTGTTCCCTGTGGAGTTGATTTTAAGAACTTAAGGGGAATGAGGATTGCTGTAACGGACACACACAGTACCTTCTGATTTTGCATGTAAATGATATAGTCTGAACTTATAATGTAAAGGCACCTCTCTTGCAAACTGATACATATACCTAACTTTGAGTGTTAAGTACTTCCCTGACTTCAGTGGAACTACTTTAATGGGTAAAATAAAGCATCTGCATCAATGCTCTATAGAATGCAGGTTAGTACTAAGGCTGGTATACAGGATCACTTAGGGAACAAAATGGGTGTTGGAAAGAGAAAGGCTTATTTAAACCTAACAACAAATGGACTGGTAGCACTTTATAGACTAACAAAACATGTAGATGGTATCATGAGCTTTCGTGGGCACAGCCCACTTCTTCAGATGACTGGAGTTTTGAGTTTAGGATATGCAGACCCAAAATAAATAGGAGAGGAGGAGGGGTGGGAGACAGGGAGCAGAGAGTATGGAAAATCAAAGGGAAAAACAGGAAGGGAGTCAGTAAGTATCTGAAGATTGGGTAGTTAAAACGAAGCAGATAAGAATCAAAGTCAATAGATAGTATTCTTCCTGACAGGAATCTACACAAAGAGCTGCTTGCACCTTCATTGAATGTTAGGTTGATAGTGTCCCAACCATCCTTCATCAGGATTGAGTTCTTTAGGGCTTGGCTGTATACAATAGACTGAGAAATGTGTCTGGGGTGGATACAGCCTAGCCCTAAGATACAACCGGATTTGTTCCAATCCCACAGACAGAGACAATCACCTACAGGATCTTTATAGATCATTCCTAAAATTGAAATACCCTCCTCCCCTCCCCCGCTTTTCTTCTATTTATTTTGGGTCTGCACATCTTAACCTCAAAACTCCTGTCATCTAGAAGTGGGCTGAGCCCACGAAAGCTCATGATACCATCTACATATTTTGTTAGTCTATAAAATGCTACCAGATCATTTGTTGTTTTTTCCTGTACATACTAAGTTGGCTACCCCCTGAAGCTTTTAAACCTAACAGTTGTTGAATGAACAATATGTCTTACATTGCTACCTATAACATTGTCCACAGACACTATCCTTTATTGATACCTATTTCCAGGCCTGGATGGACTCTTGTTTTATGTAGATAGTGGACTTAATCCTGAATTGCTTCTCCACTGCAACTGAGCATCTTATAGACAAGTACTTAAAGGAATAAGCATTTCCATTGTTCTAATAGCCATGGGAATTTATTTATTAGACAGGCAAGCAGAGTCTAAAGTGAATGGTTCTATTATGGAGAGCAGGGCAACCTATTCTATCCTCTTCTTCCTACAAATAAAGTAAATCACATGCTGCATACATGAAAGATCCTTGTTAAACGTATTTTGTATAGCTTAGAAGTATGAAACAAGCCAGTCCTGAGATAGGATTTTATCTGCTGAACTCTGTTCCACTATTGTCTAGGTGACACTGACTATTTGGGGGTACTGAAGAACTTTGGTCAGCTAACCACCACTAGGGGTGAGGGAGAATATTGGAACCTGAGAGGCATAAACCAAACCACAGCACTGGGTAAGTGAAACTGCAGCTCCTGTAGTTCAAAAGAATAATTAAATGGTCCAATAACATATATAGGGGGAAGAAGATATTAGTTAACAGGAACTAACTCCTGGGATAATTTTGCACCGTAATATAAAAAATTCCACACCTGGTATTTTAAAATGAAGCATCTTATTTCTCACAACAACACAATATAATAATGCTCCAGCTGTCAGCCCCAGGCTGCTACTGCTCCTGTTGACAGCCTGGGGTGGCTAGGGCTTTTGCTGTCTGCCATAGGCACAGGCATTTGCTAGGCACAGGTGGGAGCGCAAGGGCTGGGGAGAAATCACAAAATCTGCAAAGAATATTCTGCACAAAATTCCTGTTGGATTATACTATACCGCAGTTTATAGTTAATGTAAGCCTGGTTCACTTGTGCTAGCACATTGGAAAGACCTGCATTCCTGTTCTCCTTAAGAAGGTTTCCAAGGAATTTACATTCTAGGTGTTGGGCAGCCCCAGAAGTCCAATAAAGTACAGTTCCCCACACCCTTACAGATTAGGGAAACTGAGGCATATAGACTTGGGGGGTGATTTACCGATGATCAGAGAATGATTTACAAAATAAACCTCAATAGCGTATGTCCCGCTCCTCTGCAATACATTTTCCTAAAAAAGGGGTCCGCTGGTTACTCAGCACAGCTAGTGCAGAGACGCTGGGCGCGCAGTGACTGCATGCAGCAGCACGTAGTGACGGAGCGAGCTAGGACCCAGCATATAGACTTGGGGGGTGATTTACCGATGATCAGAGAATGATTTACAAAATAAACCTCAATAGCGTATGTCCCGCTCCTCTGCAATACATTTTCCTAAAAAAGGGGTCCGCTGGTTACTCAGCACAGCTAGTGCAGAGACGCTGGGCGCGCAGTGACTGCATGCAGCAGCACGTAGTGACGGAGCGAGCTAGGACCCAGGAGGGTAATGGGCTGGGCGGTTCAGAGAAGGCGCCACTGCAGCTGGCGGCGCGGAATTCTCTCTGCCGCGCTCCACGTGTGTGCCGGGAGAGCGCGCGCTGCCC